CTGCTTCCGACTCTTCGGGTTCGGGCTCGGGCTCTGCCAGAGTCCTCTCGCTGCACTGGGGGGCCCGAAGGTGGGGGCTCCGGTCGTGGGCTGCGCCGGAGAAGGATTTCTGCCTCACCTGTGGCTCCTCGGGGTGGCAGAGGGGACGCTGCCACCGCGCTGCACTGCTCTGTGGTCCCGCAGCGTGGTTTTGTTGCAGGCTGTTTACAGAACAGGGTGGTCCGGCAAGCAAGCAGAACTGAAGAGGCTTAAGCGCGGGTGATCCTCGGGCCCAGCTTGGCCATAGCTGAAGTGGCTTGAGGCAGAAGATGTTGTGCTTCCCACGCTGGCCTTCCCCAAACAGCAGGAAGGATTCCCGACTCGCAGGAGCAATTCCTTCCACTGAAAGACGGGACGCAAGAGAGCAGGTCGTGCTGGGAATGATAGCAATAGCGACAGCCGTTCGCTCATAACTGATGAGATGAGCCAAGGTCCTTGAATTCACAGCCCTAGTGTAGAATTTGGATCCCAATTCACGAGTCTGTGGCTGGGACGTGAAACTTAAAGACATTCACAGTCACAGGGAGTTTGAAGGAGTCAGTTCTTTTCCTATACTGTTTTGTAATGACAAAGTCTGCACGCTGATGTGTACTGTATTGCTTTATTGAATGTTTTCTGTTTAGTAAGGCAAGTGAAGGTGCTGACCAGCGATTTAGTCTCTGTTCTTCCTACTGTGTCTGTCCAAATACTACACAATTGTTTTCAGTTAGAAGACGGTTTAATGTATAATGGCTTCCTTCCCCCCCAGGTAGACTGGAAAGTGGTCTTTCGGGTATTGTTGCATGGTTGGACTGGCTATCCCTCCCTCTGGTACAGAAATGTACACCAGAGGCAAGGCAGGAAGGGAGGCAGTAACATGATTTGTAGCTGTGTGTCTGCTAAAGCTTTGTATCTCCAACCCTTTGGCTGTTTAGATTTAAGCAGTCTTCCTGTTTGTACGTGGATTTTTATGCAGCGTGGCCCACATCGTAGGCAGGGCCACGCACTTACTCAAACCACAAAAAACCCCAAACTCTTCCTTCCAAAAAAGTCCACAGTAGTATAGTTTTTCACAGATCAGAATGACAGCCACAGGAAAAGCTCTTGCTAAGTGTGAAGGTAACAATATCTGGAAGCCTGTAAATGTAGGGTGGCAGAGGCAGTGTAACAGTCTAGCCTGAGCTTTGCTGCTGTGGCAAGATGTAGTAAGCCTAGATCATTCTGAAAAGATAGTTTTCTAAGTGGCTTCTAAGAAGCGGTGAAGAAAGATTGCTCTGAGGTTGTCCTGTATAAATTGTTTCACTCCTGATGCTGTGACACAAATTCCTGTCTGCTCCTTTGCTGAAAGTTAAGCTGATTTCTTCTTGCCTTCGTTCCCTCCTCTCCCCCAGTTTTTCCTGAAAAGGTGAAAAAATTATGACACTACTTCTTATGTGTTAAAGGTTATTGTGTTGCAGGTTCTTGTGTTCCCCAGTTTTTCACTGGTCTCACTTCTCTAGACTGTGATGATTAAGGAGGAGGTGAGGGGGAAGGGAAGAGACTTCCTCTTGATCTGGAGTTGGATTAGAACATGATCATTACGTTATGTAGCATAATGGTAACAATAGTAACTTATTTTCATAGGATAGGGGCAGTTGTTCTTAGTCAAGTAGTTAGCCTTGTTTCCAGTTCACATTGAGCTGATTCTGAGGACAGTGTTGTCTATTAGGAGAGAGATCTGTAACCTTGGACTTTGTAGCTGTTATCAGCGTGGAGAGCCATCCTAGGCAGGACGGCCTGTGCAGTTTACACCTTCTCAAAGAAAATTGCCATGTTTTATCGGTTACGTTATTTCAGCTGATACTGCCTTTCCCAAAACAT